CATGAAGCTGACCGCTGTCACTCTTGGGATAACAGAACCCAATACCTTCACTTACACAATACGAACAACATAACATCATCTTATTATTTATTTGTGTGGAGATATTTGTACACAGGTTCGCTGTATTGGTACCTCGTCGCCGACAAAACTGGGACTCGACCCCCTGAAGATCCGGGTTAGAATTAGTCCTCATCAACCATGCTTTTCGTTGCGAATGGTCAGGCTCCCTGACTTGGCTGATGCATGTCATGGTATCCCAAATGCGTAGATCGATGCTAATGAAGTCCTATAGCTGGAATATTGCAGAGTGCGGCGTTAAACCAAAAACCAAAACAACAAAACAAACAAAATCCAAACAAACTGGGCAACGGGTGGCTCATTGCGCAGAGCCATACTGATAATTGCTGTTCATATTCGTCTCTCCAAACAAAAAGAAAGGTACAGCTCATAGGAAAATACATTCATGATACCAGGTGTTCGCAAAATGGGCGACCATGTCCAACCCTACCAGTAGCACCGATCATCAGAGACAGTCGAGGTCGCAACATACAGCTGGCTGTAAACAGATTCTAAAACTTTGACTAAATGATGCCCCCGTTACGTGGCATCTTCCCGAGGCAAGTGAGTTAACTGACTATAAAAGTCCAGTTTCCACCCTTGCCGAACTAGGCTGGGATTATGGAGTTACATTTTGGCTGGACTAACGAGTTTATGCATAGTCCAATCAAAATCGCAAACCGAAATCGAAATCCGGTTCGTAAACTGTCATGCAGAGTTCGGTCGATTGCAGGATTTGCAAAGCATGTGCATCGCAAACTCGTTGTCAACAGATATTTTCCAAATCTTTTCATGTTTTTAATCAAGGTGCTCACGCTCGGAAGATGGTTACGTGGCTGATTGCGTGTCATCTTACCCCGATACCTTGGGTCTTTACTCATGCTATCAGTCACTGGTTTGCCTGGTCCAGACTCGATTATTGACATTGCTAGTTCATGTATATTGCGGGCTGCAGTGCTAATCAACATCCCCCTCCCCCCGCCTCCGTCATCAACCACGTGAAGCTGTGTGGGAACCTTTAAGTGCGTTGCACAGATAGGCTTTTCACACACGTGTACTTACAGCATGACAGTGATATGCACTTGAAGCTACCGACTTATTGGACGAGTGAACTCTCCAGCGAACATCAATCTATACAAAAGTTAAAAATTAATCTCACTCTTAAAATGCCTTGGCGATATCGCCGGGAACTCAACAACGTTCACAGATATGTAGCATATTTTCTTTCCATTATAATCACGTCTTTTCTGAGCGTTCTTTCCTTTCTGTCTGCAGTAGGGCTGAAGTTTGTTAAATTGCTTTCCTAAAGGCGCATGTTATAATTGACATTACCACCGTGAGTGATGAGTCGTTATATTCGTTTAATCACTAAATGAAACACGGCAGCAGTGGGACGAAGAGAGAGATAACCTCGTGATACATAACGACATGGCGTGCATCTGTCACGTCGCTCTGCCTTTTGTCATTCAAGATTCCACTCATAGATAAAAACACGTGTACATTTCAAGCACGTGGTAAAAACAATGCGCACTGCGCTTATCACCCATTGCGATGCATCTGCACCTGAACGATAAGTACTTTTATTTATTTGTATTCATTCAAATCAGCCTGTTAAGAGAGAAATAGGATTTTTTTTTTAAATAATAGGCAGACAAAAATTGATTGCGGCATAGGCATGTGATGAGATATGAACACGGGAAGTGTTGAAGGAACGAAGATGAGGGTAACAAAGTGTTTCGGTGAGATCGCAACAGTTGGCAACGGGGAAGGACTTTTCAACAAGAACTCGCGGTATGTCTTGGGGTGTCTTAGGACTCTTTGAAGTATCCTGAAATTAGTCTCATTACTTTTTTCCGTTTCACCTAAAGATTTAGGAATAACGATTGGCTTTTTAGTTTAAGTATTTAAACCACCAGTTCCAACACTCGATTATACTGGAATACTGCGGACTGGGACACAAAACAACATTTGCTCACTCAAATAACAGGTACACTATGTGACACACATCAATAGCGGAACCCTCCTTCAAATTGCCAAAATAGTGTTAAAAGATGCTTAAAACCAAACCAACTCACTTCTTTGTTCTCATCTGATGAATATCTGTAAAGTCTTTTAAGAACGTCATATAGAATGAATGCGTTAACGAGGCTCAACATTCCATGACATCACGGAAGTTTCGCCGTATCTCGCAAAGACGTAATTATCGGGGGGAGGTCTGTACTTTGGAAATTCTCTCTTGCGTTGGAACGCATATACCACCAAGTCTTTTTTTATACCACAACGATAACGATAAACAGACACCGTGTTATAGGCTTTTGAAAAATATATTTTTAATTGAATCATTAACATTGGCACTCGAATAACTTGAACCCCTCTTCGTTCCCGTGCCTGTGTCGACTGAACAAGACTGCCTTGAAGACTAGCTTCAATTATATGGTGTCAAACGCGAGCTACATGCCTGTGTCGCTATTATTTCAAGTATATATTTCAATGAAGACAGAGAAAGGGTGCAAGAAGGACCTGGGACGTCTCATCCTGGAAATATCTCATCAATTGTAGTTTAGATGTCTGTGTGCCATCAATTGTAGTTTAGTTTGCGGGTCATAATGAGAGAGAGAGAGAGAGAGAGAGAGAGAGAGAGAGAGAGAAAGAGAGAGAGAGAGAGAGAGAGAGAGAGAGAGAGATTCAGGATCTCAGGATAAATGGACATTTGCCATAACGGTCGACGTCACGACATAGGGCTGATTGTGTGTCGTGTCGCTGTACCTGACGTTGATATGACTCCCATCTTCACCTTAGCACTTTATAATAAATGCTTCTCTACTTTTATTTTGTATCCTTCACGTCTATAGGGCTACGCGATGAAACCACCTCAGATAGGCCACGAACCAAAGGCTGTCAAGGCCTAGCTTAGTCTTACAGACTCCTAAACTTCTTCAAAATATTTTGCACGTCACGACTGCCTTCCCCTTGCAACCAGGGTACGGCTTGTACAATCGGAAAAAATGGTTAAATATGTTTTAACACGAGTTCCATTTCCTATATTGTCTGCATGGTGTACAGGAACAATGACAATTGCTTTTAACACCGTGAAACGTAGATCTGTCGACAACATTCCAAATACATAACTCACTGAAGTCGCATTACCGCTTGTTTTCTCTCTCGTTATCAGGGACGCCAGGGACTGTATAAGAGCACTCAAAATGGCATTGAGGGAGTGAGGGAGTTGGCTTTAGCGCCGCCTTTAACAGTATTCCAGTTATATCACGCCGTGCCAGCCAGCTGATTGTGTGTGTGTGCGGGGGGGGGGGGGTGGCACCAAGTGAGGCTGGTCTTAGAAGTTTACCACGAGCACGGGCATGGTGCTGACAAACCTAATAACATAATCAGGGCGAACCGTGATTCGAACTCACAATCATAGGTTTCTGGCGTGCCCAAGGGACGCAATATGCACAGCGAATCGCGGCGCCTTGGACGACTGGGCCACCCGTGCCCCCAAAAGGGCTTATGAGACACCCAGCTCAATAATAATGCCCCCGACTTCATGAAAGAAGAAGCAAACGCGAAACACAAGTGATCATCATGATGGATGTCAGTTTTATCGATTAGCTCACATATTGTTCATAGTGCAATATATCGAAACATAAATGTGTTATGAAACTGTTGAAATGCTATGGATTAAAAATTAATTGTAAGCGACCCTTAGGCGTCAACGGTGAAACATCTGTAGGAACCTAAACGGAATCATTGCTCTCTGTGTCAAATGGACTAATGATCCTGACACCCGTGAAGACCCGGGGTAGAGAAAGCCCGAAGTGATGCAGGTTTCAGACGTTTACCACTTCGGTGAAACCCAAGAGCACGGGTGTGGTGCTGACAAACCTAGAAACATAATCTGGGCGATCCGGGATTCGAACCCACAATCATAGGTTTCTGGCGTGCCCAAGGGACACAACTCTGCACAGCGAATCGCGGCGCCTTAGACGACTGGGGTAGAACAGGTCTTCAACAACCCATGCTTGCCATAAAAGTCGACTATGCTTGTCAGAGGCGGCTAACGGAATCAGGTGGTCAGACTCGCTGACTTGGTTGATGCATGTCATCGTATTCCATTAGCGTGGATCGTTGCTCATGATGTCAATCACTGGATTGTATGGTCCAGACTCGATTATTTACAGACCGCCGTCATATAGCTGGAATATTGCTGAGTGCGGCGTTAAACAACAATCCAACAATGATCCTGCTAAATGACTCTGAATTGTGCTGAGGAAATCGTGAGTTTTGTTGAATACGATAACCTTTCTCACCTCATGTAGGCACTTATTTTGTTCCAAATTTCGCGAACAGATATACGTGATTTGCTAAAGTGAGTGAGTGAGTGAGTGAGTGAGTTTGGTTTTACGCCGCTTTTAGCAATATTCCAGCAATATCGTTACGGGGGACACCAGAAAGGGGCTTCACACATTGTACCCATGTCGGGATTCGAACCCGGTTGGGCGCTCTTAAAATTAACACACGCACACAAAACGCATTCCACCGACCCCCACAATAAAAGTTCCTAACGTTAAAATCATAAAGTCTTTAACCAAATTAATTCCGATAATAGATAATTTTAACCGATAATATACAACAGTGTTTGGTGAGCATCGTAAATACGATGAGATGTTAAATGGGAAATAAATGTATTCTTAAAATACCCGTATTCTACTACCTGAAAGCAAGCAGTGTTATCTTTTAGCGAATATTGCCCAAGGCAGAGTAATTATCTTTTTAAGCAATAGGATGGCATTTTAAACTTATCTGTTTCAAGCAGCAGACAAATGCGGAGCATACGCCGTGATTACATCTGTGTGGGGAGGCCGTGTGTCGGTGAAAACCCGTGTCACTCCGTGACATCGTGAGATATATTTGTGCAAGATAATTGAAGACTAGTTGACCCACCGTAGGAGATACTGACTTTATTCTTGGGGAATACAGACTGAGGTCTACTTGATTCAACAGACTGAAGTCTACTTGATTCAACAGACTGAGGTCTACTTGATTCAACGCTACTTCACAGAGTGGGTGAAAAATGACAATAGGTTAGTTAAATTAAAATATACACTTTCACAGGCCTACGGCCTAATCTACAAAAATATGAATGTACACTGTAAAATATTCAATACTTCAGCTCTTACCAACATTTATAGACACTATGCAAACGAGCTCAGATAGATTTACACAAATTCTTTCGACATCGTAAATCTTTACAGAAAAGGGAAGTGGCAGAATAAATTGTCTGGAAATGTATCTAATATGCTACTTGATGAAATGTACTTATGTCGAGCCGTTATTAGGACTAATATGATGCACAATACATACACCTCATTGGGGGAAGATGTACATCGTCGGAAGACTTCGCCATTCTTCATTCGGAACACTTCGGCCGTTTCCGTTACATTGACGGAAATGGCCGAAGTTCAATAATTTTGTTATATGTCTGTATATGTGATTTGGGTACAGCACTTTAACATACAAAGATAACACGAAGATGACTTCTCTTTACATCCGGGGACAGGTGTCATCTAAAGGATAATATCATACCGTAAACAGAGTTTCCGATGAGTGATTTGATGTGTAACAGCTTGATATGAAAGTCTAAAATGTTAAAAATGAAATCTTAATACCAATCAACGTTCATTATTACAATTTCACATCAAAGTATTTATAATCAAACTGACATTTCCGCAGGGGAATGTGAAGGCTGTTACTTGTTTTAATAAATGGGGCATTGATTTTGTGAGAAAATGCGAAGTGTTTCCGGTGGCGTTCTATGGGCTATCTACACAAGGGAGATAATTCGTATGAGGCATATTTATACTGACATAAATATTTCAGGTTGACCTCCAATTTTCATTTTACTTGCATGATAAAATAACATTTCATCTCTTGACGCGTGAATAAATTATCAGCTGGCGATGTATGACATTTCAACACGTCAAATGTCAAAACATGACTGAAATGGACAATGGATTTAATGTGGCAGTTTCATGATCTAGAACATGAACAAGTCTAAAAGAACAATGACAAATTATGCAATCACATCTACCAGATCTATAGGTCAACATGATATATATATATATATTATTAATATTTAAACATATCCACAAAATATAGTCCTCAAATACGCAATGTACATAGGCAATAGAGATGTAGGCCGGTGATTCGGCGTACTTGGATGCCTCGCAGCGAGCTTCGCGGTCCAGTCAAATCAACAGAAATATACAATCACGTGACTATTGGCTCGCTAAATTCATAAATTTAATTTCACAACACCATCAAAAGTGCTCATGATCCTCCTCAGCGTTTAGAGGTAAAGTGGTTGAGAAACCATGTCTTCGGTTACTACGCTCTCCGCTCCAGTCACCTGGCATATCGTCTCTCAATAACATATATGGTCAGTCGAAAACAAGGGTGGTAACTCTCAAATGTCCAGTTACCTTGATAGCCTCCTTGTGCTTCCAGAACACTTTATTGATGACGTCATCACACATGTCCACGTCATGTCATATGTCATAATGACGTCACTGCTATAGACCACAGATATGTAGAAATACCAGCATGGTTCAGACTTGGTTTTCCTTGTTCATGTCAGTTCATAGTGCGATCAGTTCCTGTCAATCAATGTCCTCTGTGACACTGATCAGATATTGATTCGTTGATCAGTTTGAATGAATCTTGTGATGAAGAAATCAACAAGCTATCTACACGAGTCGATCTCCACTACTGCCTCAGCTATACCCACAATGCAGCATTGTGGCGGTCAGATCCGATTCTCATCATATCTACCTACACAGAAATGACGTCATTTCCGTTCTGAACCATAATATCATATTCCCTGTGTATTTCCGTCAATTGAGATAAACAAATATCACATCCTATTCATCGTTGTACTGTAATCTCTTGATCTTTATTCTTGTGTTTGTTAAAACGAGGTATATTCAAGTCGGCACTATTTCCGACTTCACTTTCGGCACTTTCCGCGTCGCTCGTGTTTGGCAAATCTTCTCAACCTCTTCTGCCACTTGTCCTTCCAACGGATCACGATGCTTTTACGATCCACAACGTAGCCAGTGCGGTTGTCGTCCCTCCTCAACTTCCCTACAATCAAGTAACGACGACTCAAGCGGATCTTCGGACATTTGCATTTAAGATCGTCCCTTGGGACCCACAAGTAGGTTTCTCCACGGCGAGTTCTCTCCCCTTGGCTTCGCTTGTAGAAACTGATGACGTTGATAGTAAATTTGACCCAATCGTCGACCTTTTCACGTGACAGGACCTGTGCCTGGATGGCTGCAAAAGACAAACCCATATATTAAGAAAATTAGCTCTGCACGGCCGTTCAATATGCATTGTATCAATTACAATGAAACCAAATCATTTTAAGGTTCGGGAAACACTAAATAATGTGAATATTTATAATGCGCCAATCCCATCTATTGAGCAGGTTTAAAACGCTACATTATTACCTGGATCGATGTGCTCTCAAATTTAATTCTGAACTCCCTGAGGAGTGAAGTTACGTTACCATGTAATCCTACCGGGTACCCATTCACTGCAGGCGAAACCGCAGTGTGGGGACTACCCCAAAATCACAGTTTCTAGTTTTCAGCCATTATTTTGAAAGACAGATCGTTACACCGCCTGTCTACTAACCTGTATTTACGACTTGGTCAAACTTTTTTGCGACTTAAATGGGTTTTTACGGAGCATTACTGAAAAGCTTGGAAGCGATCAGTTCATCAAGTGTTTTAACCATATCGATAAAATTATTTGAATACATTAGTTTGCGACTTAAAGCACAAATTCAGCACCTATATGAAACAAAAATGAGTTCTTTTAAACTACAAGCGACATAAGACACACATATTTGGGCGATGCACAGATGACTTAGATGACTGGGCCACCCGTGCCCCCAGATCAGAAACAATAGACTTAATATTACACATTGACATGCGATTTGTAGAAAAACTACAAATCTATTAAGACGCCCATGAATCTATTCAGACCAAGTTGTGAGTACCGCTACATATCAAGGCATTGGGCCAAATTGCTACACATTGACACTCAAAGAAAATGGTTGTTGAGGTTATCTTGCAGCCCTAAACCCATTCTGCATGACAAAACAGCATTCCATTCTCTATCTTATATCCTCTATAATTAGTCGTAGCTGAGAACACATATGTCGCGCAAACGCCCAGTATGCCTGTTTTATGTTATAATTCTTGTAACCTATTGTCAATAAACAATCAATCTTGTACAACATGATAATAATGTTTGGGAATCCGGGTCTGGTTACAAACATGTTTCTATCTTGCTTCCTCCCCGAATGTTTGAAAGGGCGGTGGAAACAGGCCTAACCTTCTGGTGGGGAAACCTCAACCGTATTTGTGTCTCCCCCACGCGGAATTCTCATGTGCACGTGGTTAAGACCCGGAATTATTTTGCCTCTTCTGTTTCGCTTTCATAAGGTACACTTATTACCACTCTCAAGATTTAGCAACACTTCATTGGATGCAGGTTCTGAGAGATGTGGCAGGATTGTGTCTGGTATGAATAACACTACAACGTAATGAATGGCGAAAGGCTGCGAGGATTAGGTGTTTGGGGGAGGGGTCGAGGCGTGTTGGGGGGGAGGTCGAGGTGTGGGTGGGGGAGGGGTGGAAGTGTGGGTGGGGGAGAGGTCGAGGTGTGGGTGGGGGAGAGGTCGAGGTGTGTGTGGGGGAGGTCGAGGTGTGGGTGGGGGAGAGGTCGAGGTGTGGGTGGGGGAGAGGTCGAGGTGTGGGTGGGGCTGGTGGTTAGGGAGGTTCGACTCCGTTGTTCCGTGGAGGAGTGTCCTTGATGTTATGCCTGTTGCTTGACTTTAGCCCCTTGGATAAAGGAGACAATTGACGTGTTGTAGCGTATCGAGGGTGTGCTGGGTAAGAACGCGAGGGACGGGATGGGTGGGGGCTTCTGGTGAAGAAGGGAGGGTAAGGGAGGTCAAAGGATGTCAAAATATTTTGGAATACGATGTTAAATAGTTGCCCTGGAACCAATGTGATTGCAAGGGGTTGGAATTGATCGATACGTTGAGTTCTGGAACCAATGTGACACCAAGGGATAGGTGTTGCTCGATACGGTGTTACCCAAACAAAGGGCTGAAAGAAGTAAAGTCAATGTTTGATCCAAGTTATATGCACTGAAATCCCCATATAAGCCAGAAAGAATGGGATCACGACAGTGTAATAGCAGCAATGTCGGTAGCAACATCCTTTCAGATCCAAAGAGCACTATATCAGAACAAGGTCTGAAAACAATGTTGTGAATGCTTGGCACAGTTCTCCTACATGTACAGATCCAGCATCACAAGCCTGGATCCATGTATCAGAAATGCCGAAGAATCGACTAATCGTGTCTGAAAGGACAGGGCTGGCACTGGGGAATAAGAATTCGGTTGTATCAAGTCAACAACTGGAGCTGAAGTGTTACATAGCAGGCAGGCCAGTGACATGCTATTGCAATGACGCCAGCGCGTTGTAGAATTAAAATAACAGAAGATCGTGAACAATGACTCATTGGATAGTAATCAAGATATGTTGATGATACTGAAGAATTAAAGCACCACGGACTGGTAGATTGATGCAATATAATAGAAGTGTTACTGGTATCAAAGGCAATATTGAACAGAACCTGACCCATCAGAGCGTACAGGGCGATATCGCTGAGTGTGTACGCTCTCGACAGCGTCTCTCCGTATGTCTCCGGTACATTGTTGACTTCAGTATGGAACTCTCCCCAAGGAGATCATTGGTTTTGTCCTATTATCGACGGCTCAGCTAAGCCTAAAGCATGGCCTTACTCTGAAACGCCATTCTCAAAAACATATGCGTAAATGCTGTTTTATTCCGCAGTAACCAATATTCCAGCCCACTTTGGTGCCTAGAGGTAGACAGATAGCTGGTACACTCTGATACCTACAGGTAGACAGTTAGCTGGTACACTCTGGTGCCTACAGGTAGATAGAAAGCTGGTACACTCTGGTGCCTACAGATAGATAGATAGCTGGTACACTCTGATACCTACAGGTAAGATAGATAGCTGGTACACTCTGGTACCTACAGGTATAAAGATTGCTGGTACACTCTGGGACCTAAAGGTAGATAGATAGCTTGTACACTCTGATACCTACAGGTAGATAGATAGCTTGTACACTCTGGTACCTAAAAGTAGATAGACAGCTGGTACACTCTTGTACCTACAGGTAGAAAGATTTCTGGTACACTCTGATACCTACAGGTAGATAGATAGCTGGTACCTAAAGGTAGATAGATAGCTGGTACACTCTGATACCTACAGGTAGATAGATAGCTGGTACACTCTGGTACCTAAAAGTAGATAGACAGCTGGTACACTCTGGTACCTAAAAGTAGATAGACAGCTGGTACACTCTGGTACCTACAGGTAGAAAGATTTCTGGTACACTCTGATACCTACAGGTAGATAGATAGCTGGTACCCTCTGGTACCTAAAGGTAGATAGATAGCTGGTACACTCTGATACCTACAGGTAGATAGATAGCTGGTACACTCTGGTACCTAAAAGTAGATAGACAGCTGGTACACTCTGGTACCTAAAGGTAGAAAGATTTCTGGTACACTCTGATACCTACAGGTAGATAGATAGCTGGTACCCTCTGGTACCTAAAGGTAGATAGATAGCTGGTACACTCTGATACCTACAGGTAGATAGATAGCTGGTACACTCTGGTACCTAAAGGTAGATAGATAGCTGGTACACTCTGATACCTACAGGTAGATAGAAAGCCGGTGGAGGCACACCCTGATACCTACAGGTAGATAGAAAGCCGGTGGAGGCACACCCTGATACCTACAGGTAGATAGAAAGCCGGTGGAGGCACACTCTGATACCTACAGGTAGACAGATAGCTGTTCGGGCACACTCTGATACCTACAGGTAGACAGATAGCCGGTGGAGGCACACTCTGATACCTACAGGTAGACAGATAGCTGTTCGGGCACACTCTGATACCTACAGGTAGACAGATAGCCGGTGGAGGCACACTCTGATACCTACAGGTAGACAGATAGCCGGTTGATGCACACTCTGATACCTACAGGTAGACAGATAGCTGTTCGGGCACACTCTGATACCTACAGGTAGACAGATAGCCGGTGGAGGCACACTCTGATACCTACAGGTAGACAGATAGCCGGTAGAGGCACACTCTGATACCTACAGGTAGACAGATAGCCGGTGGAGGCAAACTCTGATACCTACAGGTAGACAAATAACCGGTGGTGGCACACTCTGATACCTACAGGTAGACATATAGCTGTTCGGGCACACTCTGATACCTACAGGTAGACAGATAGCTGTTCGGGCACACTCTGATACCTACAGGTAGACAGATAGCTGTTCGGGCACACTCTGATACCTACAGGTAGACAGATAGCCGGTGGAGGCACACTCTGATACCTACAGGTAGATAGATAGCTGTTCGGGCACACTCTGATACCTACAGGTAGACAGATAGCCGGTGGAGGCACACTCTGATACCTACAGGTAGACAGATAGCTGTTCGGGCACACTCTGATACCTACGGGTAGACAGATAGCCGGTGGAGGCACACTCTGATACCTACAGGTAGACAGATAGCTGTTCGGGCACACTCTGATACCTACAGGTAGACAGATAGCCGGTGGAGGCACACTCATGCATGCACAAGGCGATAACCCAGCGAGGCAGCTAATGCGATCTGACAGTGACCATTGAAGTACAGCCTGACAATTTTGTTGAACAATTAACAACTTCAACATCGCTTCCCCACAAGCAGTAGGCGAGATGAAACCCTGTTATGACAGGCCTAATCCTAGTTGGAAGAGCCAGCTATTTATCCCGTCTCTGCCTGCTTTGGGTGATACGAAAGGCGTGAAAACACACAAACCGGAGGCAGACGCACAGACGTTGTCAGGTCAGATTAGGCCGCCATACGAGATATCAACAACTGTTTTGACTAATAGTGATATCAGAGATTGATGTAAGCGGCAAAGGATTATTCCACTGTCTATGAGTTTCAAACATTGACAGATTCAATTGGCGACGACACCTTGAAGGGTGTTTGCTGAATACTGATACCAGACACAGCACACAGATCTTCTGGAGATTAAACCTTTGTTTCCCGCCCATTTTTTTATGTCGTCTGCTAACACCTACCTCCTGCACGCCCATTACTACTCCGGCAATGTTGAAATACGCCCTCAGTTGTAGAGTAGCAACTGTGGCGACGATGATATGAGATAATGAAAATAATGGAATGTTTGCTGTTTATGCGACAAAACCGTTACTGTTATCATTAGATATCCCTGCTAGAAGCAGAATCTTTTGTACAATTCTGACTATATCATGTGTTAATGAATCACTATCAAATGGTGATGATACTAGGTGTTCGCTACAAGGTGAGCGTATCCTGCCTCACCGGTGGCTCCCGTCACAAACACATGCAAATGCAAGTCAAGTGTTAATCATAGTCAACACGGGAACACGTGGTCAAAGTCAAAGCAGGGAAATGCATCTGACATCATTTTGGTCACTGGTGCGTCATATTTGGAAATGTACTCCATATGTCAATCAAAAACGTTTTGAAAGCTTTAGTTAATTGCCAGTTAAAGTACCAGTATGATTCCCCACCCCACAACCACGACCCACGCAACACAACCCCACCCCACAACCACGACCCACGCAACAGAACAACACCCCACAACCACGACCCACGCAACAGAACCCCACCCCACTATTACGACCCACGCAACAGAAACCCACTCCACAACCACGACCCACGCAACAGAACAACACCCCACAACCACGACCCACGCAACAGAACCCCACCCCACAACCACGACCCACGCAACAGAACCCCACCCCACAACCACGACCCACGCAACAGAACCCCACCCCACTATTACGACCCACACAACAGAACCCCACCCCACGACTCCCCACCCCAGCGACCCACGCAACAGAATCCCACCTCACCATCACGACTCCCCACCCCACCCCACCGACCACCGAAACAGAACGCCACCACCACGCCTTCCCACCCCAACGACCCACGCAACAGAATATTTCGTATGTTCACCAGAGCAAACATCTATCTAATAAGAGTGTTCAGGGTGGGTGACCAAGGATCCCGGTTCGCTCGACCTGACGGGGCATACACGACACGGAGATATAATCTCAGCATAAATATACAACTATCGATATATCTGTTGACATATCATATTCCAGAGACGAGAAAATGGATGATTTCCGTCAAAACAGATTTTATAAGGTAGGTGAACACACCTACACACAAAGCCCGAGATAAGTCCGCACATTTAGGGATTTCCCAGTTTAAATTAGGATTTAATTCAGGTTAGAGTTATCCCCCCTATCATGTGACATAAATGGAGGCAACACACTTCAAAGTGATCAGTGATAATAGGACGTTACACTACCGTGGGAGGTAAATGTACTCACCGAAGTCCCGACGACAGAATTTTTTCATGTTGAGTCTCCGACTTCTTTTCTTGCATTTCCGGCATTCGGACGATTGTTTATTTACTGAAATGTAATAATACAACCAACATAAAAACTCATACAAAATACTAATTTTGAAACATTTAACGTAAATAGTATCTAACAAATGTATGAAAGACACGCGGTAAGGTCGGAACTGAATTTAAATTTTCTTTCAAGTTACCACAGGTCCTGGAGCTCACATTTATTCAGAATATATTTATTAAGGCGTGAGGATGTGCCAAATTAGTTATTTTACATAAAAGACATAATGCCCAATATACTAATTGAGCAAACTGGATTAAGAATTTTTTAACACTGCGGTTTACGGTGATCAACAGTGTCACGTCGAAGACGAATCTTTCTGTATAATGAGATGTTTTAAAGGTAACACAAATTGCATGCTACTCATGTGACAGGTAGTATGTCCTTACCTTAGCTTTCATACACTTTTTATTTACCATTTCAATTTTTAATGCAGTTTAATGAAATTCAAATTTTTGCATTTAAATGACGGGATGTCACTTCATGATATATTCATACAAATCAAAAGTGATTCCAACATTGTATTTTGTGTTTTCTTCATATAAAATATTTCATAAATTATGCAAATACACACAGATATATAATGATTTCCTGTGGTGATTGTCATTTTTAACTTTGGCCATCTATATATTCACAAAATATCCTACCAAAGAGTATTAACTGTTGGATTTACCTGGTGGGGAAGGTGTCAGGTGAATATATAATCAGAAATTGAAAAGTGCACTTCGTGGAAGCTAGTGATGTGTAGAACATGCAATTTGAAAAGGTAATAGTTATTTAAGTTTGGTGCTAACGGAGAACGGGTGAACGACGGACGAACACCCACAACATACTCACATTGAAGACGTCAAGGTGAATTAAAAAATGCTGTAATACCATAGGGTTTGCAAGAAAAACATGGAGTTTACGTCAATTGGGTTACCAAGGTCTAGAATGCGTCATAATTCTCCCTAAATCGGTCTTCCAATCTAAAATTCAAAGAAAATGGTTTACAGAAGTCTAAACGTCATGACGGAATCAAGTGCGCCCCGGGTAACTCGTCTTCAGGCAAAGGCATTACCTAAGTCAACGCAAACGGGCCGTGTATTGACGTTGTCGGATATTTTAAACAAAGATTGTTACTTCCCTCATGGTTCTGTAAGCGCACCGAGAGCATGATACGATCACAGACAAAGCGAAATATTCCCGAAGTGTTAATTCAACTTCAAAACTTTCAAATCACTGCCTACTGTGAACTTGAGCGTTAAAAACGTCGCGCATAACACGCATAGTTTGCTGGTACACGGGCTTTTGTTCAGCGAGCGTGTACACCGCGCGGGTCTGTTAATTGTGTTTCTCGTGCTGTGTCCGAACCAGGTGCTACCAAAGTGATCTTTTGATCTCCTCCGCACGTGATATAACCGGCGTTCGTGCGGTCCCCCAATCCACCTTGGATTAGCCTTTCTGTAACTAGCGAAGGGTTACGCACATGTGTTGAAACAGTTCTTTCCCCGTGTTCTCATTGGTGGAGGCGGCCGCACTGGGACAACCCACAAGTTGTAATTTCAAAATATTTGAAATCGTATTTGTGATTGAATTACGGGAAAGGTAATGTTGCTTTAGAATTAACACATGGGGTTATCTTGACGATGTGTGTACTATTGAGTGTCAGGCGTACGATGGCATATTTCACCACGTTCTGTGGTCAGGGTTTCAGTTAAACTGTCGTGTTTTCCGTCGCAATAGAAATATAGCACCCAGTTGCGTATGTGCGCATTAAAAATACCTTTCGTAGAGTTGAAGTTTATCTTGTCTAATGAGAATTGACAACTGTAGAGTTGAGATGACTTTATGATGATCGTAGGACTTCCGTAATGCTACATAAAACTTACCATATGCGTAAAGCTAAGATTTAGGGACGGGCCGGTGAAATATGAGTTTTTCAAAAGACGTTGCGATGGAGGGCACATTTAGTTTAAATTTATTACCCTTCTTAATTTTCTCAAGACCGTACTTCATCGTAGGTCTGCGTAATGTACAAACACGGCGGTTGGTTTAACAATTCGGTTGACCGCCTCCGTGGTCTAGTGGTAGATCGTCCGCCCGGAGAACGGGAGGTCCGGGGTTCGATCCCCGGCCGCGTCATACCAAAAGATGTTATAGATGGTACTTGTTGGTACCCTCTCCGGCGCTCGGCATTTAGGGGCTAAAACAACGGAGTCAGTATTCTGTGTCTGAGTGGGGTATTATGTTGAACTGCGGCATGGTGTCTCAGGGCCAAGCACTATAAAATCGGCATCAGTCCGCACTCGTAAAAGCGGAGACATACACACACATACACGTCGCTATATAAGTGCAAATAATCTTGGACGCGAAAACCCCATTTCACCTCACCTAACAATTCGATTAAGCCGAACTTCGAATAACATTCAATTCAACCACTGACAGATACCGGAGAATACCTGTTACACATGTGTGTTTCTTCTACCGTACCCAATCACACGTTGGTATGTAATATACGATATCCTCCTTGCACAGCCGTCTTATACGCGCTTTACCCTCTGTGATAAATTCGTTTTTGCCTATATGTCAACATCTTGCCAAGGCAGTCCCCGTGCCTACGTTGCCGACAGTAGATCCCCGTCGGGTGGGTTCAACCACGGACAAATAATCCCCGTTGTCTGCTTCACGTTTATCAGACCCGAGTTAAATGTGTTCTGTCAATGTGGGGAGACGAAAGCAGTTTCTCCACTAAAACACATTATCCCAACTGACAACCGATGCGCAGATTCTCTTCAACACCTATCTCCGGAAATGGCTTTCCTTTCAAAATCAGGACTTTCCCCAGCATCGTCAAAGTACCGATCGGATTTAGCGCGGTGGGTCTCGGAACCTACAAGAAGTCCCCACCCTATCGATACCATCACGTTTCACGCGTGCAGCGACCCCCATAACGTCCTGAACGATTTCAATCTGTCAAGATGTTATCCGGCCGGTCATGCACAGTGACCATAAACTTTGTACACACCCCGACGCCTCTTACAATGCCTATAAGCTCAATTTCTTGTTTTATTATGTGTGAAATCGGAACGTGACATTTAGGGGAGCACGTTACAGGTAGGGCCACTCGGTGGACGACACGTTTATAAAGTTAGTGAGTGAGTTGGGTTGAAACGCGCTTTTGACAGTATTCCAGTTATATCGCGGCGTGTCACTTAATGTGGGAGGAAAGCCAGATGTGATGCAGGTCTCAGACATTTACCATTTCGGTGAAACCCACGAACACGGCAATGGTGCTGACAAACCTAGAAACATGATCGGGGCGAACTGGGATTCGAACCCACAATCATAGGTTTCTGCCGTGCCCAAGGGACGCCACTCTACACAGCGAATCGCCTTGGACGACTGGGCCACCTGTGCCCCCTAGTTAGTTAGTAAATTGGCAGATTAGGTCGCCAGCCTCCTGAATACAGCCAAACGGCTTGATGCTAGTGTAGCTCCTTGTAAGCAATTTATGAGTTATGGATAAAGTGAAAATAGTCGGGATCTCCATGGGAGTATGATGACTGTTTAGTTTTAGGCCAAGTGTAAACTTTATGTCACTTAAGATGTGAGTGAAAATTGTTAAATGCTGTAGTCAGCAATTACGTGACCGAAACAACATCACTCATATCATCACTTCTGATAAAATGAGTGAGTGAGTGAGTGAGTGAGTGAGTGAGTATGGTTTTACGCCGCCTTTGGCAATATCCCTGCACCATCACGGCGGGCGACACCAGAAATGGGCTTCACACATTGTACCCATGTGGGGAATCGGACCCGGGCCTTCGGCTTGACGAACGAACGTTTTAACTACTAGGCTACCCCACCTTACCTCATCAATTACGTGCTAGAGAACGAATGAAATGGTGTTAGGTTGCAGCAATTCTTCCTTTTAAGGGATGACTGTTGGTAACTTAAGGCCAATGTTTGTTTGTTTGTTTGTTTGTTGTTTAACGCCACACTCAGCAATATTCCAGCTATATGACATCAGTCTGCAAATAATCGAGTCTGGACCAGACAATCCAGTGATTGACATCATGAACATCGATCTACGCAATTGGGATTCGATGACATGCATCAACCATGTCAGCGAGCCTGACCACCCGTTAGTCGCCTCTTACGACAATCATAGTCGCCTTTTACGGCAAGCATGGGTTGCTGAAGACCTATTCTACCCCGGATCTGCACAGGTCTTAGGTCAATGAGATAAGCCAACTGAGAGGTAATGGGGGACATGGTTTATGACGCAGTCAAGAAAGGGAGGCAAGACAGCGGGTTTGCGTCGCAGACAGTAATCATAGGATTTACAGAGGTTAACTTAACCATCCTCGGTTGAAATGAGTAAGTAAATGTCGTTTCGCGTCGCCAGGAGCTTTGTTTTACAAAACAAAGGGATATAAGGCCTCAGCAATAAATAAGGCAGATTTAAAGATTCGAAGATGCAAATGACAAACTGACAATCATGACACTGTGATTAACATTATAGATTTGTTTGTTTGTTTGTTGTTTAACGCCGCACTCAGCAATAGTCCAGCTATATGACGGCGGCCTGTAAATAATCGAGTCTGGACCTGACAATCCAGTCATTGACATCATGAGCATCGATGGATACGATGACATACATCAATCAAGTCAGCGAGCCTGACTACCCGATCCCGTTAGTCGCCTCTTACGGCAAGCATGGTCGCCTTTTATGGCAAGCATGGATTGCTGAAGACCTATTCTACCCCGGATCTTAACGGGTCTGACATTTTAGAAGTATATAGACCATGATTTATGGCTTTATGAAGTATGAACCAGACGTCTTAAGATATCGACTTCAATATGCCTTTTTTTCAGAAAGATATTTGAGAACAAACACGTTCTTATCACTTTTATGTGCAGCAAATATTGAATATTTGTATTATTTTGATGGGTTTGAATAGAAAACTGTGAGTTCTACAGTTCTCTCATCAGAGATCGTCTTGGTGGGGGGATTCAGACGTGGTTCGTGAACCCTGAAAACAGGGCTGCATGCCAGTCAAAGGTTGACATATGACAAAAAACGCAAAAGAATGTAAAGCCAAAGAAATCGTAATTCTCCTAGTTCTGTTGAAAGAAGGCAAGATCAAGGATCTGATGGCTATGGGAAAAAATAGTTTCGGCTGATATTTCTGGTGGAAAAAGGACATGAATGAGATCCTTGGAGCGACAATTATTCCCATTGAGTAAAGAATGTCTGACATTGTGGAGAGATTGACGCAACATCTGCTTCCTCCGGAATACGAAAAGAAGGCCGCATGGCAATATTCCGATGTGTATAATCCTTCAATAAGACTGTTCATGTACGGTCGGTCGTATTTGGGGTTTAAATCATGTTAAATCGTTATATCGCTATACCACATTACATCCAAACAAACAGGTAATTTGAACATGTTTTGTGCTTTATATTATGATGTATTATGTTTCAGCGAAACAATTTGGGTTTCAATTTCAAGTCCAGCGCCACTGAACAACAATGGAGCCTCGTTAACTCGAAGCTCTGTGGTTCATTGTATAACTTAAGCAGGTTCGGGATAAGAGGGTGCCAATATAATACCAGGGTCAGAGTCTTTGGTCTTGGGCTCTTATTAGATATTTTGAAATCAATAAACAACTTTAACGTTTACTTCTGAATTGACGTCATGTGTTCCCTCACTCGTTAAAAGAATATGCTTTACAATTTATCTTCATTATTATCTTCATCAAATTTTAACACCAATATTTTGTGAATTGAGACAAATTGTTCGGCCGTTAAACTATGGTTGTGTGACAAGATCAAGGACCAAATTCAGCAACAGGTTTGAAGTAGCAAAGTGAAGCTTTCCTGGAAGGTTTTCGCTATCGTGTAACGGGTACTTGTCTGTCTTTGTGGGTCGTTGAATGGCTACCTGGGAACAATTTACGAGGAAACGCGCCTTGTGTTGAAGACGTTGGTTGATGGTAATAGCACCTCTCGCCATCCGTGACATGTCCTTTGTCCCTTATCTTTGTGCAGGGAAACAGTGCCCGGCAAGAAATGTTTGTCCAGTCGGACACCACGACTCAAGCCTCCTTCACAAGGTATCCAAAGTTCCCGATCCTCAAAGGACCTGTTTGTGAATCTAGTGGGGGACCCGGAGCTTAAGCTTCATTCTGCTACTGCCTATCCCTTCCTATTCACCCGTATCGGGTTCATTTATGAGGAGTTTGATTAGGGATTAACTTGTGGTTTTTAGATTCTTAAACTTTTATCATGGCGCACGAGTCTATCTTAAACATTTACACGATTCAAAGACCATCCTTTTTACGTGTTATTGCTGCATATCCGCCTCGTTCTGTCAGACTGTGATGAACATTTCTGACATTTTATCGTTAGCCTGCCAGAGAGTAGAGGAGGTATATATTCACAAAAACGATCAAGCGACGGGGTGCGTCCTAAGTTTAGTCGTAAGCGTTAAAACTTAAAAGAAAAAGCATTCAGTCAAAAACCAAACGCACAAAAAGATTGATGTATGAGTTTCTGTCTCATCCAACGGATACTTGAGATTCAAAAATAAGTGTTAAATGAAAACCTACCCGTCTTTTTCGGCTTTGATGTTGTTGTTGGCTTTGGAATTTCTGAAACAGAAGAACAAACTGTTGTTCTTTGGAATCTGATGGTTGGAAGCAAGTCGTTCACCGCACCTATCTTGGACTGTGCCGAGGTAATCACCTGGTTGTATAGGTGCAATAAGTAGTTTCACATTGGTGCACTGGAAAACTTGCTGTCATTTAATCTTAACCTATCTTACAGAAGAACAGAAACAGTGCTTCCTGGATGCTGTGGTCCTGTTAAATAATGTAAAATATTAAACAGTCATATCACTGATTAATTAACCAAATTAGTGACTCAAATCAGATGCATAAGTAGAGACATGCTGTAAAATATGCAGTGGTTGCAGGTATTTCCCAGTGTTACAAGTATAAATCACAGGCTCCAAATAACCATCTCAGTTTAAATAAATAAACCGAAATGAATGAATAAATATATACCTAAATGAAAAACTATATTAAATGAACAATCATATTTTAAGAGTACATAACGAATGATGAAGAAATAGATTAATGAAAGAAAAACAAACTAATGTGAGATTAAGACGTTTTCAGATGTCCCTCATAGTTCGTTGATGTCCGGTCTAGCTGAATCCCAGATGCTGTTTACCGGAACGCATAATGTTTCTAACATCGTCGCCCTATTTACAATCCTATCACACCCTCTTGAGCATATTATGTCTCAGTTAACTGGATCTCAGGCCAAACAGAGATGAAAAGTGAGATTATATCTCCTCATTCCACAAACGGAATGGGCATCAAGAGACCACATTGTCATTTCATCTTATTTGATGGTAATGTTTACGGACCCTACGAATCTCTACTTCAAAACACTGGGTTGAAGAATACGACAGTAAAGCAATGATATCAATAGTAAGAGAGTGGATGAAAGATAGATTTAATTCAATCGGCAGCGTCTATGAATGAACTCCACAGACCATCAACAGGGCATCCTTAGGTCTAGGATACGATCGAGCAGGACACAGAGGCAAGATAGTATGATGTGTCAATGACAGCACAATAAAGCAATGCACTTCAATAAGGTTAAACCTGTTATTACATCTTAGGTTATGAAGTTTTATGACGGATGAGCTAGTTAAAATAAGGTCATGAGGTTCTTATGAGAGTGCCTTCTCAAGCCTATGATTATTCTCAACCCAGCAACTTCGAAACCTCTGAGGTAGGGTAACCAACGAACGTAGATGAGACCAAGTGTTTCCACTCTCTAACACTCACATCAACGTTCTATACCTTTGCAACCCTCCCGCTTCACTTAACGCTTTTCAATTTCCTACAGGTACACAACAATGAAGGCATAACCAAACAGTCTTAGTGGTATAGCGTCGGCGAATGTTTGAACAGTGCTCCGTTAGATTTCGTCTCTTTTCTACCCTGGGGGCAAGCATTGTCCTGGACTATCCTGGCGTGTTGGCATAATTCCCAAAGATTTGTTATTGCTAGAAATATGTATCAATACAATTGTCACCTTATGAAATAGCACTGTGTAAGAAAATACTCCTCCATTTTTCCAACGTGTTCGCGACTTTACTTTCAATTAATTCTTTCCTTGCATGGCACTTTATGTGGCTTCCTTACATTGTTCGCTAAACTCGCACTCGGTGGGCCTGACAGGTGTCTTGTAGATCATTAGTGAATATAAATTTTACACTGAAGTCAAATTGACATTTTAGTGTTGACATTTATTATTTAAGATTATATCTATGTTACATATACCACATGCAACAATCGGGTCCTACCTAACATAGGTCAATATGTCGTTTCGCCAAGGTTCTGTTTTCACATGCACATTGTCATATCCGTTAGTGATGACACATATTACCATTACGTCCTGCTTAGAGACGAATAAACATGCACAGAGGTAAGAAATCGGCCTGTCTTTTCGTTTTGTAACATGCAATCTAAAATTATTTAAAAATGTCCATACGTTCTCAAACCATGCACAGAAATATAGTTAGCTGTGGAAGAGAATGATACACACACTTGATACACATTAGAGAAGTCAATCCATTATTGCTGGTTCATCCTCGCGTGTAAGGGGCATGTGCCCTATGCCATATCCGATTATAGGTAGATACTTCAGCTGGGCGCAAAGGTATATAGTACAAAGGATTTCGAAGAAAATATTTAGTGACGTTTTGAAGACATAAACAGCCCTACAAAATAAGGAAGAGAGTGGCATTTACAAAATACGTTGCCCGAATTTGGGCAGTGGGCATACCATATAGAAGTTGTAACATGTACATTAAATATAAGAATGTCGTTTCAAAAGAACTTTATCTTGGTGAGTTCAAATATGTTAGCAGCGCCCACATAAATGTCATAAGACCAAGGGAGATAATTCACGATTCTCTGAGCATGGTCCATGTCGGTCATAATGACAAATGATATGAAGTAAATGCATTTGTGGAAAGGTCATAATAGTTGAAGACAACTGGCGATATATGGAATCAAGCACAACAACACCTGAACCATTTATCACTGTCCAGATTAATGCTTTCAGAACAATGGAGAAAGAATATTCCTTTCCAAATGCGAGAAGCCAAAGCAATGCACTGATTAGTGAGTGTGAGTGAGTATAGTTTTACGCCTCTTTTAGCAATATTCCAACAATATCACGGCGGGGGACACCAGAAAATGGGCTTCACATATTGTACCCATTACGGGAATCGAACCCGGGTTTTCGGCGTGACGAGCGGACGCTTATACCACTAGGTTACCCGACCGCCCCTGATTCACTTAAAGTGTCGAGACGTACATGATGGGGTACTGGTATTGGTGGAATTTAAGCCGCAATACTTAGACAGATTCAGACGCCTTGGGTGGATCTTATCTGCATTGTTCACATCTTCCACCACTGATCATGGAGTATTTTTGTCAATCGCTGAAGGGAAAAAATAGGTATTCCACCCTTTTCCTTTGTTAAAATACCATGCATTTAGAAGAGAATGAAGCCGAATAGAAGAGCCGACATATCTTAAAGGAAGAACATGAAAACCTTCGGTAAGACCCATCTGAACAGAGGCAACTCATGCATGCCGTTTAAGTTGGTTAATTTGCATAACAATTGACCTAAACACTAATGATTTATTTCTAATTAATCCTTTTATCATGCCTTGATGTACATGCGGCATTACTTTCTTTGTCTTTCGAGCCTCGATTGGGAATGAAACCTTCTTCTCTAATTGTAGAATTGGCCACTCTCTTCATTCCTGAAACAAACATCCGTGGTCAACACAATCTGCTCGGATTATCTCCCCCTTGTCCCAAATGTTGCAAAACGATGACTTGCAGACTCCCACTATCTGCTGCAATGTGATGGGAAAGGTTCCAACCAAATTCTCCCTTACAGTTCTGGGAATATATGCTACTCTGGTTGTGCATTAAGAGGAGCTGCTCCCATAAACGTCATCGCTTCAGTCAACAACGTCCCGATTTCTTCATCTTGATTAATGTACTCTTTCACGGGGTTGTCTGAATTGGAGAAGTTCTGATACGGAGCTTGGTCAAATAATTCAATACCAATCCCAAAACTAACTATCTCCTACATGAACTGATTACTTGTACTCCTCCTTGAACCTCAAAGACCAATGACATTATAAGAACAATCAGATCCGTACATAATTCGCTTTAAACCTCCTATGCTGAACCAGAGAAATATCAGACGTATCTATACCATATTGTTTCTTGTGGATGAAGTCAGTCAACACTGAGTAATAACGTTCTGAAATGATTCTATGAAGAATGTATGCATGGGAAGCTATATTTAGTGGCAGACCAGCTCGTCTGATCTATGGTCCAATAGTGAGGAGATGGTTGGGACATTCGCCTTACAGGATGGGTTTACTGACGGGGGACTCTACAACACACACAGCAGGGAGACTGATCTACGCAGGGCAAAACATACCAGTTAATGATGAAACTACACAGTACTAAATAGTCACAGCGCTAAATTACATTTGCGGGAAGTATTTCGTTGTGTCAGTGAACACTTCTAATCTAAGCATACACGTTACTACCTGCGGCCCGTTCCAAAAAGCGATCTTAGCGTTAAGGTGATCGTAACTCCCATACTTTAACATAGGCTTACGATAGCCGTACCACCAAGACCGCTTTGTGGAACGGGCCGCAACTGAACGTTCGGGTTTAGTTTCAGGTAAAGTCGTTGAACCATTCCAAATATTTTGCTTACGGAAATGAACAACGAGTCATAGTTATTGCTATATGCAGGGGCCTTCTAAGATATGTTGCATGGTTCAAAGCTCGTATATCTACAATGGTAAAACTACCTGCATAACCTAATTGATAAACAGATGAACCTTCGTTTGCTAGTGCTATCAACTACTCTCATCTTAAGGATGATCGATCCCAATAGCGTGAATCGATGCTCATGATATTAATCACTGGATTGTCTGGTCCAGACTCGATTATTTACAGACCGCCGTCATATAGCTGAAATAATGCTGAGTGCGGCGTTAAACAAAAAACCAACCAACCCAGGATGACATCAACTTGATCCTGACGCGGGTATTTGTAATAGTGCTTTACCCAAAACGTACAACAGATTAAATAATACTTATAGTACGAGTGGGATAAAAGGCGTGCAGGTCGTAGACGATAACCACTAAAGTGAAACCCACGCGCGTATGTTGGTGCTGACAAACCAGGATCATGATCGTGGATTCGAACCACCGATCCCATCAAGGCGAACGAGCACCGCACTAAACAGCGATGTTCGACACTTTAGTCTGTGTCGTCTAGCACGTGTGTTTTAGGCCGAACAAAAATATCCTTGAAATCATAAAATGAAACCTATATGAGAAGGAAATCCTATTACCTAACACTCTATCATGACGAGATGGCTTGAGAAAACCCCCTCAACGTGGCAGCACTGGATATATTGACATATCAAAAAAGCTATATTCCCCGTGTTTCTCGGTTACAAGAGACTACCCCCACACGAATTGTAATGCAATATGACCTATGGCTCCCGGCCCCCATGGTGCACTGCCGAGTTGAACCCATGATATCACCAGCAGAGGGCCGAGCACGTACACCGTTGCTCATCTCAGTGAAGTGTTGCAAACCACGGTCTATCAAATTTCACTAATATTTCAACTCGGCAAAACCATAACATTTTCACGTCTACGATCGATATGTCATCATCAAATATTTACAAAGACACTGGAAGATGAAACCATGAAAACATATAATCATATGTTGGACATTCATTTCTCAACACGAAAGCACACAATTCTCAACACACCAAATAAGACAAAAATAAAGAATTTTCAAAAAGAAACATGACGTGTATTACAAGAATAGTTTTTGTACTTGTTCCACATTTGGAACCAATTAGAGATGTTTGTGTCGACGCTGTGCTTTGAGTTGACTAGCAAACCTGCAAAAACAGAACGGTGTACTTACTGATACACGGAGCGATATGAGACTTGCTCTGTTGGTACCCCTTCGCGCACCTGTTGCAGGTTAGCCCAATGACGCCATCTTTGCAGGGGCATTGACCCGTGGTTTGGTTACACGTCTTCCCCAGTGCCCCAACCGGATGACAATCACATGCTGAAATAAAATAAATAGCTATTCAATGCGGAAATCAATCATCAGAATCGATAAATCAGTTTCATGTGCCTAATTATTTCCGTGAACACATTGCAGATTTCGATTATATTCTGATCACCTGCATTTATCTTTTACTTCTTAAGTTTTACATTCGTAGCAGCTATGGTTTACATTATTTATCCAGTTAGGAGATAGATAGATAGTGTACGATAAAGATTACATATGGATATTACATGCATATTCTTCCGTTATAATCTACAACAAACGTTTCCGCGGCGCAGAGATAGATGTATCCAAAATAGTTGTTCAATGGGCAATGTTTATTTACAGACACGGCGGAACATACAGGACTCATCTACAGATTCATCGCAAGTGGCATCCACCTGAACAATCAGTGTTCACCCTTATTCCAGCACCACCTGTTGCATCCTGGCGGGTCTGAGACTCTCATAACTCGCAGACTCTAGCACCAATGGTGCCGGTGCCAACCATTTTGCTTCGGTATAAGATATGGTGCTGTCTGTCAACACTCTAGCCTGACGCAGATAAGCAGGGGCTATTCTAAGGAACCCCCTGTCCGCCATTTGTGTTTATTGGTTTGGAGTGTAGCTTTATCACCTCGGATACAAGAACCTCCTGCAACTAATGAGGAGGCGAATAAAAGGGGACAGACCTGCCAATTAATGTCTTCATCACCGGGGCTGCAAGTGTAATATTTCTCACTGTTAGGTACTACAGTGGATGGGTCCTGTCTGGAACCATAAATTTCCTTCTTCGTGACATAACCGATGACGATACCGGTGCGTCTTTATACAAAAGAATATTTAGCTGATCTCCCTGAGCGTGTATTGGACATTCAATGAAAGAATGCTTTTATTTATATTGTTGAAGCATGCACGTATTTACCACGACATGTATAATAATAATAATAATAATAATAATAATAATAATAATAATAATGTCAACCCAGCGAAGTGCCATATAAAATCGGCCCAGACTAATTTTTTCAAGAAGAGGCTATCTAAACGACCATTGCATCGAGTTTATGTGCAGTGTGTTGAGAAGAACACCAACCCTGCAGGGTCCATCGCTTGGATGAAGTCGGCTGGCCTGAAAGTCCGTTTGCTGCTCAGGACAAGTCACTTCCCACTCGAAACCGTCAATGTGTGATTTTGCATTTAATGTAGATTATGCAACACATTTAATGAGACTGTCCAATATATTGTTAGTGGATGCCCAGCATTGGCACAAACACAGTATCTTAAGCGACATGGTGGTGTGGTTCGATCCTTTTATTACCGTCTTCGCCATGCTTGTAGTTTTGACACACAGGTCCATCTATGGTACGACCCAGAATATGTAGAGGGCGTCATAGAAAATGATAAATACACAATTCGTTGGAATAGGCACGTTTACAGCCTCGGACCTACCAAGGCCAACAAACCTGATCTTATCCTTTTTGATTTATTCAATGAAATCATTTATATCATTGAGTTTTCTGTCCCTTTTGACACTAATGTGATTGTCAAGATTGAGGAAAACATTGCAAATATGCGGTTCCCCATTGTTCTCGGTACCTTAGGTTAATACCTCCCAATCTGTTGAGTGACATTGGGAGGGTACCCGGGTTTGCTGCCAGGAATACAGCCCTTCTGACAATCTGGGTAATGCTCTTGGGGAGTCTACACATTCTCCGAAAGGTTCTCGGTGGGTTTGATTCGGCAGCCATTTCTGGGAGAAGTCCCATTCGCTGTCTGTGCTGCGTTTAGGGGCCTAGCCAGGATCATCCAAACCCTCTTTACTGCATTTATTTATTTTAATCTGTATCATAATAATGATAATAATAATGAGAATAATAATAATAATAATAATCACGGGAATTGAAATACACCTATGACTAAGATTGAAATGGTGAGCAGAGCAATAAAATGATAAAATGTTTCTTCTGTTTCATTAATAAGCGTTTTCAAGAACAAATTGTGATACAAGTTGTTATTTTGTTTTTAAAGAAGGAGTTTTTGTGTTTGTCAAAATCAATAACGCCAGTAATCACAACCTGCTAGAGGAGATTTGCGCGATTTCATTGTGCATCATTACACACACAAGTGTTTTTAACCCCTTCCCTTCTGTTGCTAGTTCACGATTTGGCTTCTAGGGAGCCCGGGAGATAAAATATCATTCTACAAAATTACGTGTTAACGAAACGCTTAGGAAATAACTTCCCAACACTCTATCTTACTCATTGACGCATTTCTCACCCTGGAAACACCCTCTCATTGCGGGGAATAATATCTTTATCGCTTTTACTTGAAAACCGTTTGATAGTTTTGATAGCATAGGAAATTGTTCATTTTGGGGTCTTGCTATGTTCTGGTTTGTCCTGGTTTCACGCGAGCCACTTCATGTCGACTCTTGTGGCACTGTGCAGGGAGGTGCTGAATTGCCCATGTTCATTAGAAGCTTTTCAAACTTGGAACTGCGCCATTTAGTCCTTGAACCGAACGTACACTCTTTACTCTGTGGAATTGAGACTTGGCAGATTGCTCCTTAAAGTGGCGGACACACTGCAAAATGATGCAACTTCAGTAATGAAATAGTGGGATGCTTTGGCGGTCTAGTGTGGTCGAGGCAGTGGAGCTCGTGATGGATAGATTCCGTGATTGCACGTCCATGTCGTAGATCACGGTCATGACCCCCGACGAAGCTGGGTCAGGATTGGTCACTTAGGTTGATCGATGTCAAAACGAGGCTGACTATAGTCTGCCATTTTGAGAGGCCCCTGTCCTTCGTCTGGAGATTTAGTTGGTTGATTTCACAGTTATCGTTTCGAGGAATGCTGTTCAATTTACGGATAAATGACATTGAGGTCGAAAGACGATCATTTGAAGAGAATGGTTGAAGTAATAAAACGTCGGTACTTGTCCCAAATTGCTTCCTATCCGTCAAGCCATTTGCTCCCTTTGTCGCCGGTATTGTTAACAGTATCTCGGGAGCACCACTTGAGGGGGATCAGCGTCTATGAAATGGTATATTTGGTCTTGTACCAAAAAATGCTGCCAACTTTTGCTGTGGATGACCCCTCTTTTCAAGTGCATGCTGCAGCTTATGGGACAGCAATAAAAGCATCGTGTACCTGGCATGCATCATTTCAGTGTCATGTTTTATTATGAGGTATCTTGTTTATAAGTGATGTATGTATGTCGCCAGTATTGGACACGTATACTATAAAATCCCTTACGTCATTGGCGGTTGATAAGCTTGGAACGCCCTGACGAGAATAGGTTTGAATTTAACGATTTGTCGGACTGTGAAAGCATGTGGCATGTGACTTATATATGTTTATTCCACTATATTGGATGTGGACGAACGGCCCTTCCGTGGTGTCAAAGAATTTGAAGAATCTTGATTTTTTGGGGTAAATTCTACACTGAGTCCAATGACTGGGAACTGTAATATAGTCACATGAAATATTTGAAGAATGTTGAAAAAATTGCAAAGCCTACACTGAGTCATTGTTTGCAAATGGCGGAATAAATATTTGAAGTATTAAATAAATGTTTGCTGAATTTCGTGTATGTTTCTATGCGTGTATGTGTGTATATGTGTATGAGTGTATGAGTGTATGTGTGTGTGCATGTATGTGTTTACTTGTGTATGTGTGTTTGAGTGTATGTGTGTTAGAGTGTGTGTGTGTATGTGTGTATATGTGTATGAGTGTATGTGTGTATGAGTGAATGAGTGTATGGGAGTATGAGTGTATGTGTGTATATGTATATGAGTGTACGTGTGTATATGGGTGTATATGTGTATGTGTGTTTGAGTGTACGTGTGTATATGAGTGAATGAGTGTATGTGTGTATGTGTGTATGTGTAAATGAGTATATGAGTGTATGAGTGTACGAGAGCATGCCATATAATAAACCAACAATGACCCCTTCTGTGAAACCCCAAACGTACCATACCATGTAGGTATGATACCATGACCAAGGATCATGGTCGGCCGAATCTAGGATTCAAACCATCGATGCCTTAGACCACTGGACTAACGTCAGAGGGTTCGATATGAATAGTAAAACGTCAACGCCAGACAATAACCAGTCTCGATTATCTGGCGAAACAGATTCCATTGGACGCAAAAGGCAAAAAAGTGATGAAAATAATATGGATCAGTGAAAATCTATGTCCTGCCCTACCGGTAAAACCGCCATTCACACTATTTGCATAAAAAACTAAGTGTTGGTATATCATACAATATCTAAACTGTCGGAAACCATTCCAGGACAATGAGATAATCTTAGGATGCCCATGTCTACATCAGCTGCAAAAAGCCACAACCCCAGAACAAAGGATGCACAACGTTGCCTACAACACTGGATGCCTCCCCGAAATGTGAACTGAGGATTTCCATCATATTAGTGTAATCGTGAATAAATGATGTAATATGTGTTCGTCTGACAGGTTGTAATCCACAGGGGGCAGCACCTTGGGCGCCATTTACAAACACTTTGCACTTTACTACAAACTTAACTACAAGATTACAGACCCCGAAATTGCTGGGGTCAAGTACAGAGCGGCGGTGGCTTTGAGAAACGTATCATCTGATACGTGGGTTGGAAGAACAGGGGTGCTAAAGGCTACGACTACCTCGAAGGTACGAGAACCGACAGAAACAAAGACAGTATCGTGTAGTCTGTAGGGGACCTAGTGTCTGGCGGGGATGTCTCATCAGTCTGACGTGATACTTCACAAATTGCACATTGGTTCTATAACACACAAGCTGCCACTGTGCACGTGCATGTCTCGACTCCTGGGACAAATACTCTCCAGATAGGGAGCGTCCACCAGACTGACCTCTGTATAAACGTACACTTGTTCCTTTTATCAATCGCACAATGCGGGAAACATTAGTAAGTGATAGGAAAAAGGCGCAGTTGAGATGAAGACCCTTAGCTTGATTTAGAGTATCCATATTCTGGCAGGGAGTACTTCAAGGAGAATTCCTTCCTTCTTATTTACAGTTTATTACAGGCGGTTACAAACCTAAAAAACCCATTGTACACTTGAAACATATGTGTATGTAAAACATTTATAGCGAAGGAGTCATAAACATGCACAACAGGATATAATACCCCCAAATAAACCCTACTTAAGTGTACTTAAAACCGACGGGCTTGGCATGCTTTGGTTTACATTTTCATTGTTTTACGTATTCCCAATAACTTATACTGTTAAAATTCCCAAGACGTATCAACTTTAATGGTTTTGGACATGTTTGATCTAAACAGTACAATGCTTTGGTAATGTATTGCCCCCGATCACATGATAAGTCTTGTTTATATTCGAATTAACCGAGGAGAATATCCTATAGGATGAGGCTCCGACATAATTGAAAAGCGATCAACGTCGTGGATAAACCTAGGGTAAGTGATACGGGTGGACCCTTTCTCACGTGTGGTAGAAGGCAGAGTGACTACAACCCACAAAACTCCAGTGGCCAGGAGATGTATGTTGGCCACCTTGTAGTCCAATCTTCCTCTTGTAGGAATTTATTCTGAAGTGTCGTTTAAAAATATGCGTGGCGTATCTGTACCACAACAGCAGTAAACTGAGGCAAGACACACACCTGTTGGGGAGAACTGGCATGGATGTCAGGGATGGTGGTCTCCAAAACATTTTGAGGTGTTCAATGTTTTCGTCTTTTCTTATTCATAACCGTCCACGTGACACGGGAATATGGTAGATTATATGATGCCCTTGAGAATGGCGACTCCGATGTGAATTGCTCGTTTCGTTGATTTGTGTGAGGAGATTTGATTGTAATTTTCTTTGATATCTCCCCCAAACGTGGTAAGCACTTGATTGGGAGATAGGTGCGCCATGACAGCGGCAAAGCGCCCCCTGTGTTATAGGTCAGGTAACACGGGGAATTAAAGTCACATGATCCGTGTGACCTCGTTCTAGAATCCATTGTTTTCTGTGGGTTGTGTACCAGATACTCAAAACACATGACATTGCATCAGATAGCACTGTACACATAGGGCCCAGTTCACAGTGGTATTATTAATGTAATATTTCATTACACACCACAAACAAAATAGTTTTGTGTCGTTTTCCATTTAAAAAAATGACACTAATTACCAACTGTTATTCCTATTTCAACGTTCAAATGAAAGAACCAACTTTGTAGCCGGATAAATTGTAAAATCCTCCATCGAAAAGTTTATTTACCAAGTAGGAATACACATAAACGTATGCCTCAGTTAGAAAAAGTCAGACAGTGAACGTCTTCCCTATCAACTCGAATGTCATTTTCAGAATCAAAACGGTTCATCACAGTACACAAATCCAAACCCATTTCTTGCTGATTCAGATCAATTACTCGGGAGTCCTGAAATATTTCCTTCCTTCGTAAATGCTTATGCATGTATACACTTCGACCAAGCAGAGCCTTGCAGGGTTAGACGGTTCATTCACTGGCTTTAATCCACGGGGGTTTGGTTCCCCTCGTTCTGTCACCCGTAACAAGCCTTGATCCTTGCCTCTGTTCAGTTACACCGCCTTATCGCCGCTCCGTAGCCAGAGCATGTAAAACCGCTCCGTCTTATTTATCCGATCTTGCATGTTTAATAATATCTTCTTTGAAAGAGATCTTTCTATGAGATACACGCTCTACCCATCACCATGCGGGAGACGCCTTTGAAAGATTCCCAGTTTTATATTCCTCGGTGATTGTGGGTTGTCCTGCACACCTTTTACCGTTAATCCTTGATTTTCATGCACTCAATATTAAATTTCAGGCTCCGACGTGCATGTGTATTGTACTGCTTTTCGATAGGGGGTGATGTGCTCCATATAACCTTTGATGTGCAAGAAAATAGCTGACGGTTTCAGACACTGTTGATGTTTGTTCAAGTCTTGATATGTTCCACCGTACAGGTACTTAACATCCTATTGTCAAAATGTGCTCCTATATACAAGCGTTTTCATTCATGTGTAGCGAGGTTCCATGGTGTATTTTCACTCATGTGGAGAGATCTCCAATAGTGTATGTTGCAATTTCAAGCTATAAAAGGCAACAATACGGCTGCATTCTAAATAATATATATCATTCAAAACATCGGCTTTTCGACATTTACATTACCATCATAAGAGCTGTAGGGCTTAGGAATTTGAACCCATACTTAATATTAACATGTTCTTATAGAACGTGTTCTCAGATACAAAGTTTTATTTACAAATGATATGTACGTATTAAGGTCAACATATGAAAAGACCTCAGCCATACTAGGCTTTGATACATAGAAGTCCATTTTTGTTTGGTTAACTAAATATTATGTTATGATGAATATCCATGACAAAAATATTTTGTAAAAATGGTTGCCAAATTAGAATGTGCTTGTGCAATTGACTACAACTACGCACTACTTGGAAGGCTCAATCTACAAGCCCACATATCTCTAACAATGCGAACACATTCCTGAGATTTATATTTGCATTACTGACATGAAGAAAGCTGAAACCCGATTTATATCCATGTAAGCACATATCTATATACCATAGTGCAATATCTATGTATATGTAGCTCCGTTCGTGATGTATGTGACCGTCATTATGGGTGAGGGATTATGGGATATCTGTGAGTGCTCCTGGAAATATGTGATGCAGTCATGGCTGTGTTATGTGATATACTCGTAAACTACAACTGCATTGTGCAAGCACTACACACTACAGCATTGTGTTATGCCCTCATGGCATGCGTGTAGATGAAGGGGTAAGATGTTCGTGGTGACACCGTCAGTATCAACGTTGGGTCGTCTTTACCGCATGACGTGGTAGACACACAATGACTGCACTTCCCTCCTGATGATGTATACGGCGACCAGGCCATGTTTCTGCTAATGGCGTGCATCCACTCCTGTGATAATTGTTCTACTCTAATGAACCGTAAACGGGTATAAAAACACTACACATTCATGCAGTCCTTATGTTTCTACCACTGATGACGTAAATTGCTATCATAGACTACTTCTACAGCAATAAACATGCCATTGCCACAAAGAAATAAAAAAGGCTAACTAGAAAACGTGCATGGTTACATTTCTTCACGACCTTCACCTTCTGTGGTCATACCGCCATCTAATATTTCAACTACCTAATCTACGTCAGCTACGGTAACAGCGTGCACTCCATGGCCCATGCACCCACCCTTGTCGAAGACTGGCCAGCCCTACCTTTGCAGGCCCTACGGTCTGTGATGTGTCGGGAACTATCCCTGTAGTATCCTTGTTTACAATAGTGACAGTGGCGTCCGGCTGTGTGGTGCTTACAGCCCAGGCATACCCCACCACTCAATAGCCCAGACAGCATATACAGCTCTCTATTGAAGCGACATCGTCGTGCATGCAAATTACAATTGCAGGCTGGAAAACAAAATAAACCAAAAATAAACTCAACTGAAAAACGAAGGGAAAAGGAAGCACCTCCTACCTTTACAAGCCTTCCTATGGGTCATCGGTTTGGTTCTATCGCGATAGTAACCCTCTTTGCAGTAATTGCAATTTCGACCAGCAGTGTTGTGTCTGCACCGAAGACAGACTCCCCCACTTTTGTAGCCAGATAATTGGTATAATTCCATATTGAAGCGACATTGTCTAGCGTGGAGGTTACAATTACAGGCTGAAATAGACGGAAAGAGATGTAGAGTGTGATGAAGAAATATGATGTGACATCTACTGAGATGGGTTCTGTGTTCTCAAATGCGTCTGAATCCATGGCTTTGCGTTTGCCGTAAACAAATTCCTTATGCCATAACATCGGTTGAGACAACCGTACATTATTATACATATTAACTCTCGGAACATGGCGTTATTACTTTGTAAATCTTATATGTATGGGGAACGTCTTCACTGTTTATGCAAGACATTGCATTGCAACTGTCTGCTTCAAGGTTTTCGGAACTGCACTTCCATCTTCAAGGATATCCGTATTTCTGAAGTACATATTTCTACGAATGCCCTATCTAAATGTTCTTTTAATATGTCGGGTGTTTTATAGCGTTATCGTGCTTCTGTAGAAAAGGCCAATGGCATACAAGTTATTCTATTTAAAGAACAGTGGAAAGGAGCAAAATGTTTTTGAAGCATTTTCGAAATGTATCTTAAATGGTCATTTCATTGAGGCTTTTAATTGCAATGACATTAACAATCTTTTACTGGGATATACAGACTCGTGATCTGTGTAAGGTTGAATAAAAATTTAATGTTCTTTGAAGGAAATTGTACATAGGGCGACTTAAAGTTAAGTTTTTTTCGCGTGGTGATATCAAAATGGGTATTGTAACAATATAGTCCCGACATGTTGAGATATATCGTCTGCGTGACAATTTACCTCTTTAACATCCTTGTGATTATGGAAAGGGCTTTCTCGTTTTCATTAATCCTTTTTGTAAATGAAAAACGAACATTTGAGAACACAGATATACTACCATTTGTGACAGACTCAACTACTTGAGTGTCAGCTGAGGTGATATGATGTTAAAGAGGGCGAAGAGCAACTTCTTTCACACTGTATCACAAGGTATCACTTTGCTTATTGTTGAACGCCACATTCAGCAATGTTCCAGCTATATAACGGCGGACTATATATAATGGAGTCTAGACATGACAAACCAGAGATTGATATAATGAGCAACGTCCCACGCCGGTACGATGATACACAGCCCCATCACCGACCCTGATCATCCAATCCATTTAGTCGTAATGTACGACAAGGACAGGTGACTGCTGACCTATTCAACACCGAAACCCACAGAGGGTACCATGACACAATGGTGATATACATTATACATCACTATCATTGACATGTTAAAGTTTTCATAAAGTATCACATATCGGTACCTGAAAAATAATGTGTGAAAATATGACTACAGGAAATGTTAGACTAATTGTGCTCCAACATCCTCTACATAATAGAAAGTGGTTATGTTTCTCCTGTGCAAATGATGTATACTCCTCCAAAGAATGTAAGGACCATCCAATTCTTTTATATTACTATAGTTTTTCTGTCATGTCATTATTAGCTATAATAATATGAATGAATCGGCTGGTCTTTAACATTATTTTGAGAATTATAGTTGGAATGGTAACAGAAAGAATGAGCAGGAAGGATTGATTGGATGAAAAAGAAACTGAAAAATATACATAAGACGAACAAACACTTCAATATATACATTATCATATCAATATATGAAAAATAATAGAACACTGAAAACGAAAGAAAAATGTAGAATTACAAGTGAGCACATACATTGAGATACCTGGCAGGCTTTTTGTGACTGAACATGAACCGAGTGAACCTTGAAACCAATCTTCGATGGAGATGGTTTATAAGATTATGTAATATTTATTTCTTTTTATGTTGTTAATATTAAAAAACGGAGATTGAAGATAAATACACGTGGAGCTTATAGAGCATGTAAACAGTAATTGTTTATGGTTATTTTACAAAACACTACGTTAATAAACAAAAGGGTCGACTCAGTACAGAAACGTAATGCATCATAAAGGAAATAATTTCTCAAAACATTTAAGTTTGGAAAGTGGATTAGACATATCACCAATGATAATTATACTTGTGAATGCTTAGCGATTCATTCTATGCAAACATTCCATTTGGTATTTTAGATGTGTAATTTAATAGTGATGTTTACTAGATGGTAAAGGTTTAGACAGAAAAAAATTAGTCACCTGGTAAATACATGCGTTAGTGAGGTAATACCAATGACCATAAATAATGAATAGTATTCCTCTGAATAGAATAAAGCGACAAAACCCTTTCCACATCCAATAGAAGTCTCTGCATAAAGCAGAATCGGTTGTACGATTCCGACTATATCAGGAGTCTGAATCGTACAATCGACTCTGCTTCTAGCAGATATTTGTTGTGAATATGGAAAGGCTGTGTCGCTTTTATGATTATGATTATGGAAATGGTTTTGTCAGTTTTTTTATTCACAATCTTTAGTTTTTTAACCGAGACTTCACCAAACAATTCTTATATGATCATGTACCTAGCAGATCAATACAAACACTACGATGTTTCCTCTCTTTTTAAGTCACTTCACCAAACCTAGTTCAGCATCATTACGACACGTAATCTAATGGTGCTACTTTGATTGAACCAAATCCGCCTTCATATTACATACTATTTATTTTTAAGCGATCAACACCTAATTTGACGCAGGTTACACTGAAATAGTTGATTTTAGTACATTGATTCAAGGCGATTAGTGCTCACATATGATGACGTTCTACTCAGTAGTTAATCATATCACAATGTGCTTGAACACTTTCCCTACGCATACAATGTGCTTACTATTTTGATTTCTCATTATCAAACCTTTGATGCAACTTGATGAATTGAAAATATCAATCAAAGCAATCATTAAGCAATCAGTACATACATTTGAAGCAAACGTTTTATTCAAATTATGGATTTTCCTTTGTACAATTCTATTTAACTTCATACAGTATGCAACAACATTAAACTGACAGCTGGAATGAGAGGACGAAGGGTGAAAATGTTATATATTTTCCCAGAGTGAAATAATTGTTTTGTCAATATAATGGCCACCGCGGTGTATATAACACCCATGGCTCGTACAAGCATGGGGCCAACTCTCATCAATCTCTCTCGTAAAATGCCAGCGAGGGACCCCATGCTTTATGAACACTGATCAATGAAACGAGAGCAGTGATGAATCAAGGAGACAGTTAACAAATTGTTTAATTGTCATTTTGTGAGAAATGGCTCCCGGTATTCGATCGAATAATTTCCACGCAATAAGCAGCAATAAGTCTGTCTGAAAATGGACAAAAACGACCATTGTGAACCAGAATTGCGGTAGACGAATTAACAAACGGTGTCAAATATATTCAACCGTTTATTCTCGTTCTGTGAAAAGCAGACGTTTGGAGTTTAAAATGTCAATGTAGAGTGTAATACTGCTATTCAATTGCCACTCCGACACATATCCAATATGAATAAGCACCCATAAAGCATTGGCGAGACCAGGATTCATACAAACATATTGAATTATTTTGGAATGCTTGACAGACCAGGCCAGAATTCCTCTAACCCAGTTACGCACGTGCATTGTCACATGCCGTCGTTTATGCATAAGCAGTGTCACGGGGGCAAGCTAAACACGACAGTTTAACTTTATTACAGTGTTCATAAAAAGTTACATAATGTCTACTGAACACTGTCAACTATATGGGTATGTACATATGCGGGTATTGAAAGGTACACCCCTTTATAGCAGCATATATAAAGGTATTGTAGCGTACCAATGCGACATTAAACATTGAGTTACATGGATTCCCACCGCCTTTAATACACGGGTGTGACGGATATATGTGACATATGTACATTTACTAACCATTTACTTATGTTTGGTTCTCTTGAAACAGATAGGTGTATCTTTGAACCTGTTTAAAGCGTTCTGGTGCAAAGGCTTTAGATTGATATGTTCTGATTTGATGGGAAAGAAATCGGTTGTATATTTAGACATGTTTTCAAAAGGTTAACCAACAAAGGTCAAGGTCTGATGCGATACCAATTTTTTCCATCAGTTTAGTCATTGCTCTGTATTTGATCATGTCAAAAGTAAAAAAACGTACCAGTGCATGACTTTATAACTTTAGTGATTCATAAACACGTGCATAAGATATGGTTTCTGCTTTTAGTAGAGATTTGTTATGATTATGGAAATGTTTTGGTTTTTGTTGTTGCTTTTACTTCCTCAAAAAGTGGGATAGTTGATCATGTACCCCACAGCTTTAAACAGAAACGTAAGACAGCATCTTCACAACCACAATCACATAAACGCTAAATGAGCATTGAAATAATGAAAATACACATTTTACGAATTGGGTGAGTGTCTTATGTTTATGTTTAGCCTTCACCCATGTGGAATATTGCAATATGAACACTATGTGCCGTTTAGTATTTACGTTTGTTTGTTTGTACGTGAACCTAAACAAATACGTGTCACGAGGGAAATCAATCGTCGTCTGTAGTACGCATTTCGCTGTGCAGAGTTGTCTCCCATAGGCGGACCAGGATCCTATGATCATGGGTTCGAATCCAAGATTAGCCCTGATTATGAATTCCGGTTTCTCAGCACCATACATTGCTCGTTGGTTTCACGTGTGCTCGTTGGTTTCACCTGTGCTCGTGGGTTTCACATGTGCTCGTTGGTTTCACCTGTGCTAACTGATTCACCAGAGTGGTAAAAGACCAATGATCACCTTGGGCTTTCCTTACATATTAATTTGACATGCCATGAAGCAAACTGAAATAATGTTCTAAGCGGCATTAAAGCCAACTTCATCACTCACTAAAACGTTTCATAACGGAT